CGATATAGATAAGTATAAGAAATGAATGAAAGATGTCACTATTATCGAATTTGGAATGTAAAAGTCTGTACTATCGACTTTGATTAACTTCGACCGTCACTCCAGCATCCCCTTAAGGGTAAGAATTATACATCAAAAGATGTTCCCTTCCAAACACAAATCGAGCTATTTTTGCATCTTTTCGAAAAATCATTTTTGTAGGAGTTATTCAGTCTGTTTCGTTTTCGATGGGCCATCCTGTATATTAATTCATATCTAATAACCGAATGTCATTCTTGCAATTCTCAATACGTACACATATTTCGTGAGCAAGCCATCTCCAGTAACAATTTCATGTTCGAGTGCGCCGTTTACGAACTCCGCCTCGGCGTCGTCTACTGCGCCTTCTAATGCTTCTTCTCCGTTATCCTCATTGAATATCGAGGTTTCTTTATTTCGAGAGGCTCGTTGAGTGGTTGACGAGTTCGATAACACCGATTTAGCCCTATCAGATGTCAAACATATGCTTTTCGTTGTTCGTTTCTTTTTCTTACCCTGCATCTCTCGTAGCGTATTTCTACGCTTCAGTTCCTTATAAATGGACACGTCTAGATGAACTAACTGTGTGATGGCAACATGTCCGATTATATAAAGTAACTTGGAGAGTACAAAGCTCGATACATCTAATATTTCATTTGTATCTTTATTCATAAACTGACCCTTTTCGGTGATGCTCAATAATAATTCTTTTATCAACTTAACCGGTTGATTTGCCAACTGCAAAGTAAAACTTTCTCAGCGTGATATTCCAAATATATCAGTATACACGGTAATGTTTCAGCGTAAGAGCACGTGCATTTAATTAACATACGACAATTTTACTTACATGATATATAGCATTAATTGCATCTGTCGCAAAAGAAATGTAAGCATTTTCTTCTGTACTAGTAAAAAACTCTGTTAATAACGTCATGATCTCTTTGAACATATCATGATTATTAGGATATCTATATGATAAAATATTTTTCATTAATAATTTCCCAAAAGCTTCGAATTATTTTTATCTTCAGAGACTTACCTCAAAGGTGGCTTTTCGATATCCTTACTATTTTGTTTGATTTTTAACAACATTCTGCAAGTATCTCGTGCTAAAAGAAGGTCGTCATTCGCGCGTGGACCTAATCCTATCTTCATTAACACATCCAGATTATCAGATGCTATGTTAGATTTTGCCTGAGCTATCATCGTTATTATCATTAACGCGGTTCTGCTATCTATTGGAGAAGTATCCGGATATTTCATGCAGAATTTTTCCCATAATACCTACAAATACAGTATTCGTTAGAGTACATGGCCACTTTATTTTTAAAATGCTTAAAATATTTATAACTTATCGCTGAACAAGATTCAATTTAGTATTAAATATATTTGAGTATGTTGTGTAAGAGAGTGATCGATGTGTAGTCGATAGAGATTTGATCTCAGGTTTTATTTCATATACAGGATAATCTATTTTGATCACAATACAGTCAATTCTGTCCGAAATTATTAATGATACAAAAAATTTTTTAGTTGAAAGTGGAACAGTTTCGAGGGGGATATATTTTGGTTACGATATTTTTTTCTAGCTAAGAGTGTCAAAAAAATAAAGATTACTTCCATTTTTATAAATGGTATTATATGCTTCCTTTTACATAACATGAGATTCCTGTATTTATTTTGCATATAAAAGTAGTAAGGTAGAGATATTAAAAAACGAATAATTTGCGAAATATTTTATACCTTGTTCTGGTACATATTGATATGAAATATTATATATCTCGTAAACTATTAATTTTTGTATATATATATATATATAATCATACCTTATTACTACTTTTATACAGAAGAATGAGAAGAATTAATGGCTATAAAGAAAACACATAGTTTTACTTTAAGAAAAATATGAAGACAAAATGGAAATTTTTTAAATAAACTAAGCAACTTTGTTTTCTTTACACTAATTGATTCACCTTATTATTTTGTCCATAAAAGTATTAATAACAATTATAAAAAAATTAATAGTTTACGAGATATTTAATACTTTGTATTAATATGTACCAGAATAAAATATAAAATATCTCGTAAACTATTTTGATATCTCTATCCTAATACTTTTATTCGCAGAAATAAGAAATAAATTTTGATATCTCTCTATCTTAATACTTTTATATGCAGAATAAATAGAGGAATATGATATTATATTTAAAAAATTATATAATTCCATTTAGAAAAGTTGAAATGATCTTTATCTTTCACCTAGAAGAAAAAACATGATCAAAATATATTCCCCCTCAAAACCATACCACTTTTTTATCTGAAACATTTTTTTCAAATCATTAATAATTTCGAGGAAAATTGACTATATTGATTAAAATGTACTACCCTGTATATGTCTCGGTTTTAATAAGATTGATTGGCAGATTGGGAGAAGTTTGAAGATTATGGAAGAAGGAATCTGGAAAAAGAATGGAATATATAATCCATCTCGGAAACCCATATATCTTAATTATTAAATATACTTACTTGCAGCAATTCACTGTTTAATTCTCCGTTTTCATACCACGTGACGATTAGCAGTGTCAAAGCCAAGCTCTGTCCAGGCTTTAATTCCTTCATCAATTCGATTAAACAATTCGCACGAGCAACGGCTATTTGACGGATTGATCGTTTGTCGTTATTCATATCAAGATAGATCTCTTTGTACACTACGGCCACGTTATTACGTACAGATTGATCGCGATGAAATACTTGAAACAGAGCTTCACGCATAGAGTCGGCCGCTCCGGTTACTCCGAATTGGAAAGCAGTTCCTAAAAATGTGCATGATTCAACGGCGTCTCCAGCACATATAGAAAACAGTAATTTTTCTGCTATTGGTATCGCCTTCTCCAACTCGGTAGCAAACTTCAGACAATTCTGCAGCCAAAAATATATATAATACATACAAACATACAATAATAATTAATTCAAAAGGATCGCAACGTTCAATTTTATGTCCCATACTTTTAAATAATCTATAACACGCTTTCGTAATCTTAATTCCTCCTTCCTGTTGTTGTCTTGTTCTGAAGTTGAACTTTGCGCGTCGTTTGCATTTTCATCATTTGGCGATTCATTTTCTGACTCTATGAAAATCTTCAATAAAAAGGAAAGTAAAAATTCCTCTTTTGCAGCAATGGAAAAATTTTCCATTTCAGAAATTTGCTCTAGTGTCATACATGTCTTCCACAGGTATGTCACTGCTTCAGTGACTTTTCGGCTTAATAATAATTGTCTTACATGCTCGAACGCATGATTTGGATCGATGTTCTCTTGTTCTACATCTATAAAGAAATTCATACAATTCAGATCTTGTAATATATTTTACAAGCGAAATAATAAAGAAGCCTTATTAACAATAATTTATTAACAATATAATATAAATATAATACAAACTATCTGTATATTCCTCATTATTTTTCAGAATTTCCTTAATTGCTGCCTTTATATCCGATTGTAAAACAGTCCAAAGCTGAAACCTTTGCTCGTTACCACGTCCACTAGCACTCACGATATTGATTTGTAATTCTTGTAATTTTGCCTTCTCTTTATCGAGTGAATTAGAGAGTTCAACGCAATTTAACTGCACAGATATATAGGTAAATTTAATAATGAAAAAAAGTTTAATTTTCGTGTTTACATACCTTGCCTGCGAAAGGATTGCTTTGCAACAGAGTACGCAGTAATTGAAGAGCCTGTTTGCGAACATTTGCGCTCTTATCTTCTAATCGTAATGCGGTGTAGGCTAAAAGCTTCCCGTGTCTTGCTAATGGCACAGCGCCTTCACAGCACAAGCGTTGCCAAGTCTGAAGCACTTTCGACCTCACGTAAGCATTAGAATCCAACATATGCTCTTCCAAATTATCCAGACATTCGTCGCGTTGGTCTTTCTGTTTATCCGTTAAGTCTTCACCGGTCAATGCTTTTTGCACCATGACACCCAAGATTCCAATCACACAGTTTCTCATTGTATAAAACTATTAAAAGAATTTAATAAAATTGTAATAAAAACATTTTAATACTTTCCTGTATAAACAATTAAGGTCTAAGCATAAAGATGGCCATAACCGAGTCATGGAACGTAAGTCGCAGTTGTAGGTCGATCAAAACATTGTGCGTTGATTTAGGACTATGATCATGTTTCACAACTCAGTTATGACTATTTTTGTACTGAAACTCTAAAGAATCATTTATACTGTAGTTTCTCAACTTATACTATAAACTATACTGTTAACTTATACTGTAAATTATAAGAAATTGATCATTCACAGTAAACTACAAAAAAAATAATCAACTTCATTTTCCTCGTATTCAACTGTGATTAATAAATTTCTTATAGCTTATGGTTTAAATTAACAGCTTACGGTCAATGTAAATCCTTTATTTAGTCAATAGCATGAGAATTATAATGAAAACATACTTCACTTGACAGATAATCTGTGATATTGTCAAGGATAGGAATTATGAGATTGGGCCGTGAAATTGCGATATTTTCCAGAAATATAGATGTATTGCGACTATCAGTCTCGTTAACTTCGCTTTGGCCTATCTCATTCATCACTTCTTTTATCAAACCATTGCAGCCACATTCAGTAATCATATGTACTACGCCAGCCGCTATTGGTATTGCCAGTGCATCGTATAATTTTACCAACTGTAACATTGCACACACAATGTGTTTTGTATATTTTATAAATAGAAATTACAAATATTTATTCAGATACCTGAACAATCCTCACAACGCAAGTTATTCCATGATTGTACTTTTTAACTAAAGTTCCTAGAATCTGTTTGCAACAAAAATTATAGCAATTGAATATAAGATTCATATGTATCTTTTATACTAGATATTTAATACTAATACTAAGGTGAATTAATCACTTATTTCCAATATTAAAAATACTATTGACAATACTTTTAATACTCAAAATAAGTAATTAATTGCCCAGTATTAGTATTACATTTATATAAGGGACATACAAACATAAATACCTCAAATATAGTTTCCCTTGTGTGTTTTTGCTTAGCATCCTTTATCTGTTCTAATATCTTATAACATATCTGTGCTAAAGTCCTGCAAGTATTACAGTTATAACACATTATTTTAGAATTAACTTAGAATAAACTTAATAACTTAGTGCTCCATAATTTACATGACAAATGAATTATCAACAATAGGTGGTCTCCATATTTTATGCAATGGGATCTGTAGCCATCTATACAGAAGTTCCAACGCTTTCTGCCTGGATTGCTCCCATTCTTCTTCAATATCTGACTTCGTGACTTTCTTACGCTACAAAGGAACATTCATATCTTCATCCATATAACTATGTAACATGATATTATAGACAAGTTTCATACCTTTCCAATATTGCTCTCATTCACATTTTTTACATGTTCTTCTATATGACAGATAAACCATGAAAATAAATATGCCAACATATTGTTAATGCATAGATATGTTTCCCTATCCTCTTCCTCTGTAATATCTTTGCCATGATCAAATATTTTTTCCTGTTCATCCAAAAGTACTTCCACAGCTGAAAATCACATATGTACAAATCTAGGTAAAATAATTTATTTATTTTAATCAATTATATATTTATATCTATTGTAAAATGTAATGTCACTATTTTTAATATAACAATAGAACATCTTGCAAAGAATATTACCCTTGTGAATTCTATTGAAAGAACGTAGACAGACCTGGAGTTCCACTTTATTGCCATGAACAATAACAGAAAAAAATGTGTCAAAATGATTCAAAATAAAATGTGCTCCATTTGATTGCAATGCTAATCGTGTAGCTGCAACATAAATTAAAATAAGTTTTAAACTATCTTAATGCAACTATTATTTTAGTAATTTATACACACTAATAACATACAATATATTCACAATAACTTATTAACTATAAACAATTCGATACAATTTTTAATTTATTACAATCAAGAGCTTGAGATAGCGCCCGTAAAGGAGTAATCTCTTCGACAAAGTACTGCCCAGCATGTGACGTTAAAAGTTCGTCCTTTACTAAAGGAATCACAAATTTTTTCACCATTTTCACGTAAAGTCGAAACTATCATCAGAAATGTTAAGCACTGTTAGTAAGATTCTTTACACTATTCTATAATATTTTCATTAAATATCTAAAAACAATATTATGTTATTTGCCGTTTATACACTGCAATCAAATATTTTCTTTGATCCTTCTTTCTAACAAATTTTCGATTAGGTATATCAGAATGCAACTTAACCGAGTTTAAACAGATGCTAATCAACGCCACTAACGGAAAAATTAAAGCCTTTTCATACTGGGTGCATTGCACTGAACTATGGGTGCGTTCCGTTTCACGCATATGGACCGCATATGCTGGATTCACACTGCATCCGATTTACGTCGTATGACGCTCTGCAATCAATCAGAAAACAGGATTCCGATGGATTTTGCTTCGTATCAT